ACGGGTTGCATCGAAAGGGTTCGGAAATGTCGGAAATCACATGATCGCGAATTTTTTCTGCCATCACTTTGCTACCTATTCAAAAGACATACAACCATACACTACCGCAGAATTCCGACAAATAGAATTGCGAATAAACCATATGAACTAAAATAAAGAACTAATAAAACATCAAGAATGAGGACGACACCTAAGTAGCATGAAACGGAAAGTCCAAATTGCGCAGCATAAGCGATATACCTGTATATTTCCAAAGACAGTACGCCAAACAATCTTTAACAGATTAGGAATGTACACCGATTATTAGAAGAACCGTATATGTATATATTCAACAACAATTATTTAACTATATACGTGAAAAAACAAGAGCGAGTAATGGCTCTATCAAAAAGAAAGGAACAATTAAAATTCGACCATACGACAATCCAAATCGATTGAACGACCAAATAGAAAACATAATACAAGCATATCACTATTATATCATTACCAGGCGATCGAATGAAAATCACAAATTTAACCAAAAGTGATTTACACAGTTAATTGGACAATCGAATCTAACATTCATTCAGCCCACCCTAACTCAAAATTCTAACCCCAAATTTTAATAGTAAATATATATAAATAGGGGTGGATATACATGTCTATATAATTTATTATAAAACGCGCCTATGGTGGTTTTGCTTCTATTATATGTTTTTATTATATTCCTTAAATTTTTCCAAGTTTTGCATACAAAATTTTTAATCAATTGTTTCATGTTAGGGTTAATTTCAGGGTTAAGGTTAGGGTTTGGGAAGGGTTTTTTGGTGGCATAGAACATTTTTACTTAAGCCAAGTTTGTGAGATAATATATACGTAGGTGCGTTTTAGTAAAAGTCATAAATAATTAATTAAAAAGAAAATTGTAATTCTATCATAGCAGTATAAAAATAACTTATATTCGATATCATTCATTAGATTTTGTTAAGTCTCTTGTTATTCAAATTCCATTCCAATAATAATGATAATGCATTCCATTAGTGTACCCACTTCAACAGATATTTGAACATAAATGAATGCCTTATAGTCATTTTTTCAACTCCAATTCCATTAAAATACCAAAACTATATGTTCCATTAGTATCATCTCTTTCAATTCCAACTCCATCAAAAATATATTACCGATCAGATTTATCTTAGTTCACCTTCTTATATGGGCGACCCGCAGTTGACCACCCAACTCCCCGGGCGACCATAACCTATCCCGAATATGGATCAGTGAAATTCCACTGAAAATGTTTTTAATTAGTGTTAGTGCACCAATTCCGTTGAGTTACAAGCTGTTTAAAATTCGATGTTCTCAGCGTTCTGAGAATACTTAGCAATTTTTATGAACATGAATTATTGGAAAATGTTCTCTATTTGAGGACATTTAACAAATTTCTTAATATCAAAAAAACCTTAACTTTCTAATTTTTGAGAACATTAAGAATTCAGAAAGTGATTTTTTGAGAAATTCTAATCGCTTTAGTGCGTTACACCCGATCTTGAAATCTGATTGGGTGATCCTTCAAATCATCGATTTTTTTTTTGATAAAAATCACGTGAATGTCGATAAAAAATTTTTTTCACCAGATGAATTTGTTCATGGAAATACTAAAATAATGTTGTCTTTTCTTCGACGAAATAATTTCCATTGCAATACATTAACACAGAAGCGTGTATATTCTTCATATTCTTCTTTACTACGATTTCGGTATTATTCTTCAGTTTCTCAAGATACTGTCTCACCGTCGACTGCAATTGTTCCTCCTGAGATTCCGTCCTTTCAACAAGCTTTTAACATCGATAAGCCCCTAGTGATCCTTCCACAGCCTACTCAACTTAAAGATGACGGGAAAATTCTTCCTCATGTTTTTTCGGAGAATCTTGCTGTGTTATATGCATGTCTAAAATTGGGTCAGATCGAACGTGCCAAACGAATTTGCGAGTATTTAGAAAATAAAGGCCCTATGGATATGAAACATCTCCTAGACGTCAATTTGCACAACGCATTTATCGAAGCTTTTCTGGATGCACCTGTTCCGGAACTTAATTTAGCATTCGCTTGGTTAGATAGGATGTGTGATAAATGCCACGTAAATCCTAATCTGATGACATTTGCCATCTTGGTGAAAGGATATTTGAGGTCAATGTCTTAACTTATCGTGTTACAAATTTTTGTACTCAGAATACGCGTTTTTCCCGCGTTTGACGTACATCTAATATTAAAGATTAAAATTTCTTGCTAATTATTATTAGAAAGAGCAAGGATTTTCAATGTACAACGATGCTTCAAGTTATTGTTTTCGAAATGGAAGATAAAGGTTTTCGATTTGAACAATTAATTGAAAGCAATTTATTATCTGATGATGACACCCAAAAATTACTCGAGGTATATTTTGGAAATAATTCTTATTCCAGCAAATATTCTGTCTTATTCATTATATTCTTAACTTGGGCTACCTTAGTTGTTAAATTCTGATAAAGAATCCAGTCTTTCAAAGCGACTTTTAAAACAGCTTGAAGATGAAACAACAACCCCTTTGACTAAAGAACCCATTTCAACAAAGGTATTAAAATAATTATTTCGCACTTTCTATATAGATTATTAGGGAGCTGACACTTATTACGTAAATATAGCCCTCCTCAGAGTCAGTCATTTGACACAATTGCAAGTTCTAAAATAATCAATCGTTTGACAATTGCAAGCTCTAAAATAACCAATCATATTAAAGTTTACACTATAATTACTTTAGAACTTGTATTTGTCAAATGGCTGACTCTGGAGGGGGTTATATTTATGTACTAAGTATCAGTTCCCTTAAAATCGATTATTAAAATTGATTATCTAATATAAAACCAATATGTCAGGCATTTGGTGTTAAGCTTATGAAAAGTTCTCTTGAAGCTGTAAAAGAGAAAGGGCCGGATCAATATAATCGTCAAACTAAGTTGGAGGAAAATGCTTTACATGGTGCTATTGAGCGTTGGAAACATGATTATGAACAAATGCGTAAACGTGGTGATACTTTTGCTGGAATCCCTTCATTGCGGAAGGCCATGTGGGCTTGGCATAAAAAACTTGTCCCTTTGATCGAAATGGAATTGAAAAAAAGCATAGAAAAGAACATTGATGAAGGTACGTTTTTCGGCTAATTTTTAATTCGGACCTCGTATTATATTTATTTTAAATTTAGTTCGCGATGTTTTAAGGTAGTGAATGCATTGATTCACAAACTGGAACATTCTTGCGATTGTTAAGTCCGGATAAATTATCTGCCATTACGATATTGGAAATGCTGCGTCAAACTAGTGATAGTGAAGTTATAGAAGGAATGACGACAACCGCTGCTATTATGGCTATTGGTAAATCTGTGGAAAGTGAATACAACGCAGAACAATTGAAAAAGAAGCAGAATCGTAAATTGGTATTAATATTTTAACATATTTTAAACTATTTGCATACAAATGGGCTTGGTGCTGAAAAAAGGACCAAATTAATAAAAAAAAAAAGTTTTTCGGAAAATAGATTTTTATATTATAAAATACAAACTTTAAAGAGCTATACTACAAAATTTTATTAAGATAATAACATTAGTTCCTTAAGTAAAAAATTGTTCTGGCTAATTTTGGATTGGTTAAGCTTAAGAAAAACTTTTTGAAAAATTGTCAATTGATCCCTTTTCTCAGCACCTAGCCCATATATATATAAATATATTTATTGAACATTAACCAGATTTCTATGATTATTAAAGTTTTACAAAGATTTAAATATTCATGAACTTTTTGCATCTGGAAAATTATTTAATATGGAAATTCGCCGTTTTGCGAGAAAATTAGAAAAAGAAGATATTGAAACATCATGGAAACCAGATTGGGGATCGACAATAAGAGTT